TGGGAATAGTGGAAGTGGGCAAAACAGTGGTAATACCAACAAGCCCCAAAATGCAAAAGATAAGGTCAAAGAAGTCTTACAAAAGACTAAAGAGAAGCTCCAGCAGATATTTGGAAAGAGTAAAGAAGGGCGTTCAAAGATCAAAGAAATGATGGACAAGCTCAAGAAGAAAGGTACCGAATTACTTGATAAGGGGAAAAATGGTCTTAAGAAGTTAGTGAGTGCTGCAAAGGATATTATTGGCAAAAACGTGCCCAAGAAATTGCGAGACAGTTTAGTGAATGGCATTAAAGATGGTCTCAAAAATGTGAAGGACAAAGCCAAAGACGCAAAAGACAACCTTGTGAATGGTCTGAAAGGGATGAAAGACGGTGTTGTTAATAGTTTGAAAGGAGCGAAAGAGAAGTTTGTGAATGGGATTAATAACATGAAAGACACTCTCAAAGACGGTATAAAAGAAGCCAAAGACAAAACAAAGAACGAAATCAAGGAGATGAAAGACAAAAAGACGAATGGCTTTAAAGGCGCAAAAGATAAATTAACGAATAAAGTCAATGGAGTGAAAGATGTGATCGAAGGTTTTGCTACTAAAGATGAAAAAGGAAGTACAAAGTCCAAGAAAATTGCCACCACCATGATAAAAGGTGCAAAGAATATCTTAAAGAACACAAAAGACTCGATCAATAAAAATGCACAAAAAGCTGCTGAGAAGTTTAGAAATACCATTAAAGACCAAACAGACAATATGATGGAAAAAACGAAGAATGTCATTGGAAAGGGTAAAGAGTATATGAACAAAGGAAAGAAAGCGGCAGGGACTTTAGTTTCTAACGCGTCAAATTTTGCTTCGAGTATCGGCAAAGCCACGAAGGGAATGTTTGACAAATACAAGAACAAAGCAACGCAATCGATTCAAAAGGCGGAGACTAAAACGGCTTCGTCTGTTGCAAAGATAGCAAAAGGAGTCAGTAAAGCAGTGGCATCAAAGATACCCACTCGAGCTCTTCAAGGGATGAAAAAAGCTGGAGAGAAAGCAATACAAAAGATGGACACTATGCTTCAAAAGGGGAAAGCTCTTGGGTCTAAAGTTGTTGATTCGATGATGAAAGAACAAAGCAAAGCAAAGAAGTTGGGCGAGAAGGCACGAGTTCTTCCAAGAAAGACGGTGAGTACTATCAAGAAAGTTGGTGAGAAAGCAGAGAAGAAGTTTGGCAAGCTTGGCAAAAGTATTACAAAGAAGTTTAAAAAGCTTGAAAAGTCGACAACAAAGAAACTCGGTAAAACTTCATCAAAACGCAAACAAGAGCAAATTAAAAAGAACGCTCAAATTAAGGCGAAACGGTTGCAGAAGAATGCACAATTAAAAGCACAAAGACTTCGAAACAACGCAAAGATCCAAGCGCAGAAAAAGAAAGCGGCAGCAATCAAGAAGGAACAAATGATTAAGAAGAAAGCTCAAGCTCAGAAGAAGAAATTACAAGAGAAGAAAAAGAAGTTGGTCAAACAGGCAGAATCAAAGAAAACCCAAATTTTAAAACAGAAGAGGGTATCTCAATCGTCTAAGAAGTCTACAACAAATAAGAAGTAATTGTTCGAACATCATTTTTTACTTTTTTAAGTCATTGAGAATAGATTCTTTAGATATAGTGTTATTACAGCAGAAATTTGAGATTTTGTTTTTTATAATAAGCTAAAATCTTGCATTAATATCAGCAAGTATTTCATTTTAAAAAACCAGTTGTATATTTTGTAATCGAAATAATGACTAATTGATCAAAAGTTATTAACATGGAAATTTAGTGTCAAGGTTAACAATTTAATATTCTTAACTTTTTTCAATAAACTATAATCACTCAAATTGATATAAGTAATTGTAGAGAAAAAGTAATTATTAAACACCATTTCAAAATAAAAAAGATCGTAAAAACTTTGAGTTTATGTTTATATTAAAAAATTCCATGCTTTAATTGTTATTTTATTGATAAATCAAGTTATAAAGTCACATTACATTTATTTATGTAAACTGTTTTTGAAAAATCTTAATATTTTTTAAAACGACTTCAAGTTGCTAAGAATGATTAAAGAAGGTTGTGTGTTGATATATTTGATAAATTGTTTGTATTGTACAAGAAAAATAGGTATAAAAACTGTTCTGACAATTAATTCAAATTATAAATTTTATTAAACATATTAATATTATATTTTTTATATAAATTGTTTTAATAATGTCTGATATAAAAAAATTTGCAATTACTGTATTGCAGTTGTTACAACAAAACTGTTATTGTTAATAACAGTTGATGTCAAAAACTCTTAAATGTTTGCACTACATTTTGATTGAAATTCAACTGATTCTCACACTTAAGTTCAATTGTTAATCAACATTCATTTTTCATTTATATCAAAAATATTTCGATTTAAAACAATATAAGAGGTTTTTTAGACTCATCTTATATCTTATATTAATAATAAATAATAGTTATCAAAATAAAAAACTAGATTAAATATTTATAATTTATATATAGTTTATTTTTAATACAAATTTATCTCAATTCACCTCAATACAATTCACTTTTTCATTTTTAACTTCAATCATAATTTATGTGAATAAGAGACCAATTTGTCACTTTCATTTATGTAAAAGAACGATAAATATTATTACTACTAATATTCCCGTTAATTAGTGTAAAAGAACATATTATTTCGAGTGATAATTTTTTATTTATATGAAATAATTGATTGCAAAAATGGACATTTAGTTTCTCATTCAACTTTTATAGATTTTTTAGTATTGTTACATTAAAATAGATTAAGACTATTAATACCACACACCAATATTAAACACCCAACTCATGTATTTTGAAATGATGGTGTATTTTTGGGTTTCTTGTGTGTTGTTAACTAGACATTGGTTCTTATTACTTATAATGTTAATTTTAAAAATTAAAATGAATTTACTCGTTAATTAGCATTTTTCTATACAACTTGAACAATACAAGGATGGATTTTCCTAAACATTTCTGCATTTTACTGAGTAATGTCGTCAATAAAAATTCAACATTTTCAGTCTTTTTTTTTACAAGTAATTTCTTCATTTAAAAAATGACTTTGGTAGTTGGTTGAAATATACTATAGAATACTAATAAAGAAACTAGATGTACTTCTTCTTTTTGTTATTATGAAGAACCAAAATATGATATTCGCAACTTTCAAATGGAAATTGAAGCTATCCACCCACGCGTCCGGCACAGGAGCATGTTTTTCAAACGACGTCTTTCGAGCTACGACAAAGACGTTGAGTCACTCTTTTATTATTTTCCAAAAGATTCCGTCCCATTTGACTTTCTACTTTTAGTCGAAAAGATGACGTTGAAACAGTTTTTAAATGTTTTTAAACAACTTGGGATATACTTCTTCGAGGAGCCTGAAGTCTTTTCTGAGAACTCTCGGAAGATGTGGTATGTCAAATATGTCGTATGGAAACTGACGAAGAATAACCGCTTGTTGTTAGAAGCCCTTGTACTCAGATTAATTAAAGACGAACAACGCCCTTTACTCTTCGAAATGCTTTACGACACCAGCAAATTTCCACACCCTCAAAACATCAGAGCGTTTCTTCATACACTCTTCACGTGTCAGGAACAAATATTTAATGACACGGATGTCCTGATGTATAGTCATGACGGTGACTTAATTGGCATGTCTGAGGATGTCCATTGGGAGTCGATGTTTGAAGTTGGTGAGTTATGCACAACCATTTTTGTAATACAGAGTACGACGTATATGACCCCTAAAGCTTTTTTGAGTAAAGTACTTGACCTGTATAATCGGCTTGAAGACGAGAAGAATTGCATTGACGAAAAGTTGTTACGACCGAAAATCAAGCGGCTTGAAGACATCGTTTTGACATGGACGTCTTTTTTTAAAGACGAGACAGACGAGTCCGCAGAGTTCAAAAAGAGTGTGTTGGACTCCGTGATCTTTACCAAAGATTTGTTCATTCCCGACGTTTTGAGAAAAATTAAGAACAACTTGTTGTATGTTCCCAAGAAGAAAAATAGTATATTAATGGGCTTCATTAAATGTACTAAAACAAACTTTCTTATAGAACTTGACGTCGAGAAAATGTATCTTTGTAAAGACGCAAAAACAACGAAGATATATAACATAAAGTCCAAGTTCATTGCTGAACAAATAGTCATGGTCGACCAAGAGTTACTTGGAGATGTCAAACTCTGAGT